GTGCACAGCGGCATCCATCCATCCATCCATCCATCCATCCATCCATCCATCCATCCATCCATCCATCCATCCATCCATCATCTTCCGCTTACCCGGGGTCAGATCACGGGGCAGCAACCTAAGCAGAGAGATCCAGACTTCCCTCTCCCTAGCCTCTTGGGCCATCTCTTTGGGAGCAAGATCCAGAGATACTTAAATTCCTCCCTTCCCCAAACCAGAGCAAGGATGCTACCCTTTTCCGACTCACTACCATGATCTTGGATTTGGAGGCACYGATCCTCATCCTGGCCGCTTCACACTCTGCTGTGARCYGCTCARCCATTCCCTGGAGATCWTGATCTGATGAAACCAATAGGACCAYGTCATCCRCAAAAAACAGAGACGAGATCCTAAGGTCACCAAAACRGATCCCCTCAACACCTTGGCTGCGCCTTGAAATTCTKTCCACAAAAGTTATGAATGGAACTGTCACAAAGGGCCRACTTTGYRGAGTCCAAATCTCACTGGAAATGAGCCTGACTTATTGCCAGCAATACAGACCAGGCTATGATTGTACAGGGACCTAACAACCCATATCAARGGTYTTGGTACCCCATATTCCGGGAGTACCCCCACAGGACTCCTTCAGGAACAGTCAAACACCTTATCCAAGTCCACAAAAGACATGTAGACTGATTGAAGACCTCCCATCAACCCTCCAGGACCCTGCTGCAACCTCGAAAATAGAGGCACAGAACTTGGTCCACTCGAAATCAGTGTCCCCCACCTCCCCCGAAACATGTTCAAAGCTCTCCGGAGGTGTGAGTTGAAGCTCAGTCTGACAGAATACTCTACCAGACGTTCCCAGCAGACCTGTCAGGTCTGATTGGCATCCTCCCCACTGTAGGAGCTAACTCACCACCAGGTAGTGGTCAGTTGACAGCTCTGCCCCTCTCTTCACCCGAATGTCCAAAACATGCAGCAGCAGATCAGATGAAATGACAACAAGGTTGAACTTCGGTATGTGTCCTGGTCCCAGGAGCTCACATGGACACCCTTATGTTTGAACGTGGTGTTTGTTATGTACAATCCATGACAAGCACAGAAGTCCAATAACAAAACACCACTCTGGTTCAGATCAAGGGGCGTTCCTCCCAACCACACCCCTCCAGGCCTCACTGTCATTGTCCACATGAGCGTTGTTGTCCCCCAACAGAACAAGGGAGTCCTCATCAGGAGCACTCTCCAGCACCCCCTCTAAGGATCGAAAAATCATCTGGGTCATCTGAACTGCTGTTAAGCACATTAAAACAGTCAGAACCTGTCCTCCCACACACTCTTGTTCACTGTGGTGAACCCCAATGTCCAGGCACCAAGATGGGGGGTAATGCATTTGCCCACTCCTGCTCGGTGCCTCTCAGCATGGGCAACTCCAGTGTGAAAGAGTGTCCAACCCCTCTCGAGGAGACTGGKTTCAGAGCCAGAGCAGTGCGTCGAGGTGAGTCCAACTATATCTAGTCAGAACCTCTCAACCTCACACACCAGCTCAGGCTCCTTCCCCACCAGAGAGGTGTCATTCCTCACCTTAAACCRCTGCCCATCACACACTGGACCCAACCCTACAGCCCCTCCCACAGGTGGTGAGTCCATGGGAAGAGGGACCCACGTCTCGTCTTCGGGCAGTGCCCAGCTGGGTTCCATTGTTAAAAGCCTGGCCACCAGGCACTCAGCAGCATGCCCCACCTCCAGGTCTGTCTCCAGAGAGGGGCCCCGGAGACCTGCATCCGGGTGTGGGAACACCGAGTACATTTAAGGAACTAATTATAAGGGGTTTTAGGGCTGCACTTTGTCTGATCCCTCACCTAAGACCTGTTTGCCTTGGGTGACCCTACCAGAGGCATAAAGTCCCTGACAACATAGCTCCTAGGATCACTGGGACTCTCAAACCCCTTYCCTACGGTAAGGTGGCAGCCCTGGGATGGGATGGAGGATTCTGTCTGACAAAAATATAGAYCYTTAAATAGTAAATGGACTGAACTTATTTAGTGCTTTGTCGAATYCCTATGGACTCAAAAGCTCTTCATACTTTATGTATCAAACTGACAACCCACTAGTTAAAGGAAAACTCCCTTAACCCAATCTGCCACAGCCACTGGGCTTTAACTGGGACAGATTTGTAGACCAAATAACTGTGAATATTGGAGCCCCACCCCCCTGCAGTGTAGACTCCAGCGGGAAGACATACCATGCAGTAATGTATTCTGTGATGGTGCTGTGCTCAGGGGCTATAAAAGGTGTGTGCGAAAACCAACTTTGAACAACCCAACTTCGACCGATTGGCTTCAGATTGAGTATACCAGGCCCTTTAATTAGGTGGCTGCACACAGTACTAAATGCTTTGAGTGTTACTAAACKTTAACTGTTACAAATCTGTCCAATGGGCACGGAGACATTAAAATTTGTTGCAGTGTTGTTAGAGTTCTGCTCAAGCCATCTGTTTTTTGTGTTGGACCTGCAGTTTGTTCATGTGTCAATGTGTTAGTAAAAGTGAGAAAGTGTTTTTTCACGCTCTGGGCAGTCAGGTGTTTTCTCGCTCACTTTCCTTTTTTTAGATTTTACTTGAAAAGATTCTTGTTTTCCCCACATGTGTATGAGAGACTGTGTGTCTCTGTGCGAGTTATTGGGGGAGGTGATGCCGAGCGTTGCACCCTAGATGTCTGAACAGCCGTGATTGTGGCGGTGTGAGCCAATCAGCTGGTGAGCATCATGTCTCCTGGTTTTTAATTGGCTGAATTTCTCAGTGTGAGCAGCTGATACACAGAGACAGTAGTGAGAAAGAGACAGAAAGGAGAGGTAGGGGCATCGAGGCAGAATTTGGTGTGTATGTGTGTGTGTGTGTGTGTTTTAAATTACCTTCCAGCATATGAACCAATCAAGATCTGTGCAGAGGAATACAGRGGGAGGGAGCTTATTTAGATTTCTCACTCTATTCCCAGGCTAAAGAGGGAGACAGAGCTTTTATTGAACCAGAGTCTCGGGGAGAAGCAACGAAACAGTTTGCCTTGGAGGAGCACAGCTCATCCTTTCTCGTGTGTGTGCCGAGTTGTGCCGGGTAAAAACAGATGGACAAGATGAACCACAGCTCAGCTGAAGCAGAGACTGAGACCATAGAACCACTTCGTTACCTCAGGTTAGATTCTGTTCTATTCTATGATTTTCTGCTCTGTTCCCTGTCTCTTCATGTTTGCACCCTTTCTTGGTCTGAGCACTGTTGCCGGTTCCTTTGACAGCTAGAAATCCATGGAAGGTGTGAGAAATTAATAGGTAGCATCAGGTAAATTGAGAAGGGAGAAAGGGGATGCCCACATCTTTTTGCAGCTTACATCATGTGTGTTACAGTCAGCTTTAAAATTATAATGATAGAAAAGGAAATAAAGATGAAAACAAGTCATTTAGGTCACCAGCCTGCAGAAACACTTGCAGTGTTCCAGGTAATTTCATTGCTGCTTTCAGGGTCTTTGACTTTTTTTAAATTTTAATTGCACTCTTCCACTCCAGTGAAGCTGTAAATTGAATTACAAATATGGGCTTTTATCAAATTAAGATGTCTCATGTGGTGTCTCATGTGGCATTACCTGGATTTATACATCAACCAAGCCAGACGTCTTGTGATTCAGTGCTCTTATAGCATGAAATGTATTCACTGGGTTTTCCTTTTTTAAGGCAAGTAAAAGGTGGTGAGGTTGTTCTAAATAATAATTACATTAAAGGCACTAAAACAGAGATACAGACTGGCCCAGTCAGAACTATTTGCATTGCTGAAATGCTTTTACAAATACGGTGTGTACACCCGTAAAGCCTGAAAAACATAAAATCAATTGAAGAATGAATGCTTTCYTCTTAAAAGTCCAATAATATTTTGAGGCTTATTTTCTAAATAATAAATGTGAAATTTGTGGAAATAAAAAAAAACTTTGAGCTCTTTCAGTTATTTAAAATCCATGACTCATTTCAACTTGGAATGATGTTTGTAGCAGAAGTGGAAAGAGGACTAAAATAATGTTCTCAGGTAGTACAGATACTATGTTGAACTTTAGAAGTTGCCTGTGTAAAAAAAACTGTCATTAAAAATTGACTTTAAGTCAAATTTACTGAGTTACTTTTTACAGCAGGAGGATATTTTTTTCTTGCTGTGCACAAAGGACAAACATTTACTTTCTCAAATGTGCTTTTTTTAAAAAACACCCTCACAGTTCAATATTTCCATCTTTATATAACATTTATCCATCGTCGGGTTGCGAAGACAACATTCTCCAGCTAATTCTGGGGAATTCCCAGGTCAAACAGGGTAAATAATCCCTCCAGCAATTCTGGGTCTTGCTTGGAAAACTTCCCTAATGAGGTGTCCAGGAGGCATCCTAATCAGATATCTGAACCACCTCAACTCACTCCTTTTGATGTAGAGAAGCAGTGCGTCTACTGCGTTCCATTTACATCATATTCCCGGAACTGGTAAATGGTAGTGACGTCATTTCCCAACAAACCATTTGAAACTGTATTCCAGTTAGCTGACAGGCTATTGTATTTTTGCCGCTAACCTAGCTACAGCACTGCTACAACATAAACAATGACAAAAACAGAGCTCTACTATGCACAWCATGCAAATAAACATTGATTTTAACACGCACAGCATTGCACATAAAACACACTACTTGTGTGAGTGATTGAACATGCACAAAAAATTAAGCAAGATAATTGACAGTAAAAGTTACAGAGTTAACAGAGTTTTTTGCGAGCAGCTGCTATCTTGAAATCAAAACTGGGAGCAGTTTCATTTCTTCCACTTTACGAGTGGAACATTACCACTGGGGGGTGCGTTCCAGTTTAAATCTACCAATGGGAACAGGGAAATTATCCCTTCCCAGGACTACTGGCATGCAGCTCCCCTCCAAGCCTCCTTGTCTCTAAGGCTGTGAAGGAGGCTCATTTTGGCTGCATGTATTCAGGATCTTGTTCTTTCAGTCACGATCCATATGACCACAGATGATGGCTGGAGTCTAGACGAACCAGTAAATCGAGAGATTTGCCTTTTGACTAAACAGTTTTTTCACCACGACTGACCAAAGCAGCACCCTCATTACTGAGGACGAGGACTCAATCTGTCTTCCACCTCCCTCTTTATCCTACCATCATCACTCATGAACAAGAAGCCCAGACATTTGAGCTCCTCCACCTGAGGTAAAGCCCTGCCTCCTCCCCGCAAACTCAAATGGGCATTCCACCCATTTCCAAATGAGAACCAAGAACCGTGACTTGGGGGAACTGACTCTCATCTCAGCTTATTCAGAGTCAACTGCCACTCACTTTAGTGCACGCTAAATCATGGCCTGAAGATACCAACATAACCACATCATCCGCGTCAAGCAGAGACAAGATCCTGAGGTTCCCAAACCAGAAACCCTTCTTTCCACCACTGTGCCTGGAGATCCTATTCGTGGACTGGAAAAAGGGGACAGCCCAGGCCGAGACCAACCTGCACTTAGYTTGACTTTGTGCCAAGAATACAGTGTAACCCATTCTTTTATAGTCGCTAATTACTATGCAATTACCAAGTAATTACATGCAAGTAAAAGTCATTTACAAGTAATTACTGTGTAGTTATAGTATTTTAATATGTAATTGCTGCTTAATTACATGGTAAATTACTATGTAATTAAACAAATTTTAGTAGGTAGTTACAAACAAATTACACTTTAATAATACCTCAGTTACCCACTATTTGCCAAAAGATACTATTTTTTCCATAGTCCCCTAATTACTATGTTTTTACAAAGTAATACTTGGTAAATTATACTATATTACAATGTTATTAAACTAATTCTAATGGGTATTAACTATCAAATTAAAGCTCAACTACACTTTAGTTACATAATATTTAACAATAGATTACTATGTTTCCAAATAATATATTTCCTTAATTACCATGTAAGTATCAAATAAGTACTTAGTAAAATATAGCATATTACTATGTTAGTAAAACTATGTTAAATGGGTAACTATCAAACTATTGTTCAATAGTACCTCAATTACAAATTATTTGCCAAGAAAATACAACTAAATTACCAAATATTATATAGTGTTTGACTATGTAATTACAGCTAGTTCGAAGTTATTGCAATAAAACGACAGTTTAACAATCACTAAATGACATACAGCTTATTTATGCATTACACAGTCTGGTTAGATCACTATGGTAACAGAGACTGAAGTCCTCACCTGCTTGACTTCAGCTTAAACTGAGATCCCAAATAGAAAAATCAGACTAACACAACATTTTTATATCGGTATAGTTCGAGCACGTTATTATCAAATGCTAAAACCAAACTAAAAACTCCACTATTGTTATTAATAGTCAGTCTGTGCTCCACATTTAGATGCTGATCAAATGTTGCTGTTTTCATTTTTTTAATTTAACTACAGCACAATATTTATTTATGGACACTTTTTCATTTTTATCATTTATTCCATAAAATGTAAGCTACGAATTTAAATTTTAGTTAAAATAAATGACAAGATATCTTTAGTTTTTTTTAAATTAACACTGAACTTTCAGCAAACATGATCAATAAACATAAATACACTCACATGGGACATCGAGAAGAAGCTATGAAGATCATGACATAAATGAACATGTACATTATCACGCAGGACCAATCCTATGCTCACTAAACATTATTATGTCCTCCTTGTGCAC